AGCTAAGTTCTCCCCAAACGAGCTTGATGGGCCGAATGGCCTCCTCTCGTTTGTAAATTTCTTATGTTCTTATGTTCTTATGTTAATTCCGAGTCAAAGCTGGGGGGAAATTTTGAAGCATGTGCAGAGCGCCTAGGCCAGTTTGAGTCCGATTGAACGTAAATTTACTATCAATTGCATTATCTGGGTATCTTAGAGAAATTTGATTTAGTACAATTTCATGTTCACATACACTTTAAAAGTCAGTTTAAGTAGAACAATATTGACTCACAGAATAATTGGTTTTTCTTAGTGTGCATGTAAATGTACTGAATGTGAAGCAAAAATAAGCAAATGCCTCTTAAAGCTTAACATGTGTCACTAGCACTAGTTAGAGAAATGGGTTATTTTAATGTATGAAAAGGAACACCGCACACATCGGGGAAATTAATAATATTTACATATAAGTATGAAAATGATTTTGTGCAAAGTGACATACAACTGAGGATTGGAAAGCAGGGGCAGGCAGGCAGTTGGGGTTAAAGGCCTCACTCAAGGGCTGGAAAGTGTTACCACTGGGCAGAGGATTTGAACCAGCAACTGTCTGATCACAGGCCCTAACCTAGAGAGCTACACACCATCCCCATATCGAAGCTGTATGTATTTTGAAGGGTGGGGCCACTAACATTTTGAGTTCTCTGAGATGCCATCATGGTTGTGGTATGTAGTAACAGCATGTCTGTTTGATCCTGTGCAGTTTGAGAGCCTCCCAGATGTGCTGGGGAGGCTGGAGGGCCAGCTGGTACAGGCTCAGGTGGAGAAGCTAGAGGTGGATGTGGAGGAACTGAAGAGATGGAAGGCGGCCGTGGTGGAGAAGCGGGAAGGGCTGCAGGTGGACTTGGTGGAGCTAATGCGGGCCGTGCGGCACATGGAGGAACGCACAGCCGCCGTGGCCAAGGATGCTGCAGCCCAGGTCTCATCAGCGCGGACAGACATGAGGCGGATGTCGGGCCTGGGTGCGGAGACGGAAGCCCTGCTGGCACGCATGGCAGTGCTGGAAGGGAGGGTCGCGCGGGCAGAGACGGCCATGGCCAAGCGGATCGGTGACCTGCTGGCGGGAAGCATCGAGCGGGTGTCGGCCCTGAGGGGCCTATCAGAGCGCAACAGCCAGGCAGCAGAGAAACTATGGCAGGGCGCAGCCAAGCTAGAGGCGGCAGATGGTGAGCTAGCAGGCCGCCTCTTGGCCCTAGAGAATGGCCGTGCCCGGCTGCTCAAGACAGTGACCTTTGCCTCTGACGTGAAGCCCAAGGTGGCCACCATCCGCCGGGAGCTGGCCATGCTGGAGCCGCTACTGAGCGACCTGATCCTGCGCGTTGGACACCTGGCCCAGGATCTGGGGCACAGGGAGGGGGACATCGCCCTGCTGTGGGATGCCCTTACGAGTCTGAGTGCCTCAGAGCAGTTGCTTGCCCAGGTGCCCAGCTAAAGCCACAAAATCCCCGCCAGATACCTGTCCGGCTACGTACCCATGGAGAGACGTCAAATGATGGCTGCAGGAAGGGGAATCTCCTCAGACTGCAACCTTCAATGACATCAAATGCTATTGTCAAGGACTCAAATTGAAGTCCGCGTACCATAAAAATTCTCGTATCCAGCAATGTGGACCGAGGCACTTCCAAAAAGTTGAATGCTACTTTAGAAATGTTAGATGAAGTCGGGTATTTGATATAACTTAAGATAATGTGAGGAAACAATTGCAGAACAAGTGGAAAGACTACTAAAGTGTGCCATTCCATGCACAGGAACTAACATGTGTTACTCAATGCCTTTCTTTGTTATTTTTTGTTATTTTCTAAGTATTTAATAGAATAGTATACCTTATTTCTTTTTTTTAATGATATTTTGGAATTCTGTGATGGGTTGGCACCCCATCCTGGCTTATGTCCTGCCTTGGGTCCCTAGCTTGCCGGATAGGAAAATGGATGGATATTTTATTAATTGTGCTGGTTACACTAAAAGGTCTTGTATCTGTATTTGAGTATCTTCATTGAGAAATTCTAATGTACTGATATACTTTTCAATCAGTTGTCTTTCTCTTTGTTTAAAGAGCCTGTTTTTTTCTTTATTTATAGGAATATAAGCCTCTGTGGTGTTTATTTAGGTAGGGGGTGCTTTGCATTTACTTTTCATATTTTCCACTGAACATAACAGATGAGAAAACAGGAAATGGAGCATGTTACCATAGAAGCATTGTTAGTCTTTTTCAGATGAGTCTGCTATTTCTTACAGAAGTTATTCTTAACACTATGCTTTTTGAACATGGGATTGGTTTTTAAAGTCTAATGCACAGTAATTTTTAATTCACGATACAGATGCAAGAGTTATTGAATCCACCTGTTTATGATAAATAATGCTACAAATACTAACTAGTGTAAAATAAAGTACAAAGTTAATATGATAGATTTGCAGGATTTTATAATAATAATAAAAGTTCTATTTCGATAGCGGCTTTCATACACTCAAGGAGACTTTACAAATTCAACAAAATCACATTTAACAAAACAGTACAAGTTACAAACAAGAAGACGAATAATATGTGTTGAAGAGATGTGTTTTTGACAGGAGTTAGAAATGGATAGTAGATTTTTCCTCAAGAAGGCTGAGAGGAAGAACATTGCAAATTTTAGGGGCTATTACACTAAATGCTCTGCCACCCAGTTTTGTCAGCCAGGGATTGGTCCACCAGGGCCTCCCTTGGCTGCCACCCAATTCACATAGCACCGAACCACTGACATTCCCCTTGCGGGTGGTGGACCCACCTGGGGACGGTCCCATTTGACCCTTTCGGGCTGGGCCCGGCCCGGTCCCACGAGCCAAAGCCCAACCAACAGGTACTCTCCAACGGGCCCCTCCCCCAAGCCTGGCTCCAGGGTGGGGCCCCGGTGACCCTAGTCCAGGCGAGGGTAACGAGACCTTAGTATAATACTCTTTCATCAGGAGTTTTTTGGATTGCTCTTCGTCTGCCCCCTCACCTGGGACCTTTTTGCCTTGGGAGACCTTTTTTATTGCTTCCCCACACTGGTGAGAACGGGACATGGAAGCATCAACATACACACCAAGATTTTTCTCGTAATCAGCTACCATTATTTCCGTGGAACCCATAAAATATCTGTACTTTATATTTCTGCTCCCTGCATGGATTATCTTACATTTATCTATGTTAAATTTCATCTGCCAGGTGTCAGCCCAGTCGCTAATTAAATCCAGATCCCGTTGTAGCCTCTCTGCTGCTAGATTTGCTACACCACCCACCTTGGTGTCGTCTGCAAATTTAATCAGTTTACTGTATGTATTGGTGTCACTATCATTAATGTAAATTAGGAACAATAGTGGTCCTAAAATTGAACCCTGCGGTACCCCACTATGAACACAGGCCCACTGTGACATTGTGCCTCTAATAACTACTCGCTGCTTCCTGTCTGTTAACCAGTTTTCGATCTAAGCTGCTACAGTTCCTAAAATCCCTGCATCTTTGCGCTTAAGCAAGAGCCGTTTGTGGGGGACAACATCAAAGGCCTTCTGGAAATCTAAGTAGATCACATCGTAGGCCTTTTTGTGATCAATTTCTCTTGTAGCTTCCTCAAAGAACTCAAGTAAATTAGGATCAAGTAAACAGGACCTACCTCTCCTAAATCCATGTTGGCTATCCCTCAGAATGTTATTCGAATCCAGGTAATCTACTATTTTCACTTGGATTATAGCTTCCATTATTTTTCCAGTAATGCTAGTTAAACTGATTGGCCTATAGTTTGCTGGATTACTTCTATCCCCTTTTTTTGAATATAGGTGTTATATTAGCATGCTTCCAATCTGAAGGTACCGCACCCACAGATAATGATTTCTGGAATATTAAAGTTAAAGGTTGGCTAATAATGTCCCTCATCTCTTTTAAAAATATAGGTAAGATGACATCAGGGCTCTGCGATTTATTTATTTTGAGCTTAGTTAGGCTTAGTACCACATCAGCCTCAGTTATACATATATTGGTCATAGATGATACTGTATTTGTACTAAATGGTGGTAAGTTACTCATGTTCTCTACTGTGAACCCTCGTGTAAAATAATCATTAAATTCATTTACTGTATCAATTTCATTTTCAATTATAAGGCCCTTACTATCCTGCAAATTAGTGATTTCAGCTTTTAGAGCTCTTTTGGAGTTAAAGTATTGGAAGAAACTTTTATTGTCATCCTTAGCCTCCAATGCAATCTTTCTTTCTACATTCCTCTTGGAGAGTCTAATGTTATTTTTTAACTCAACCTGTAGACAGATACTCCTGCTTTATTTTGAAATAATTTATTTGTAGTTGGTTGTAGTTTCCTAGATTTAGTTTTGCTGGAAACAGGCATGAAGTCCTTTTGCACTTGTAACAATGTGCTTTTAAAAAATTCCCATGCCTCAACAACCATTTTGCTATTTAACTCCATCCAGTTTACAGTTTCTAATTTCAGTCTCATACCATTGAAGTTAGCCTTCCTAACATTGTATACTTTTGTTTT